CCAGCATGGCAGGCTCATTTCAGCTTCCAGCTTAGAAAACCAAGCCCTAAAGGCCAATTTATAAAGGCTATCAGATGTTTCTGACTCATGCTAATCCACTGTTACTCCAACGATCGCCACGGCGTGGCCGCATGGAGAGCCAGGATGGCTGTGACATGGCTGGATGCTCTTGAGACAAGGGCTGACAGGAAAGGATCTGGCATTTGCATTTTTAGCCACACTAACCAGCCTGGCACGAAAGTGCTGCTTGTGCTCCCGAGATCACTCAGCATGTCTGAAAGTCAGGGCAAGTGTGTCACTGCTGGCCAAAAAAATCACAAAAAGACAAAACAGTTTAACAAACTCTGTAGTGAACCCGACCTTCAAACGACCGTCATCCTTGTTTCTGTGCCAAAGCTAATTGCTTTGTAATAAGGTCACTTCTCAAAGGTTCGACCACTCAGTTCCAGCTGCAGGCTCTCTGCTGCCGCAGTCCCTCATTTATCAGCTCCTCCCAATGACTTACAGGCAAGCCATTTAAATAAGGCAGTTAATTACACTTTCCATTAGCAGGTTGTTTCCTTGACAGCTCCCACTCATCACTTTCAGGACTATTTAGATTCTTTATCTTTTTAAAATAACTCAGAAAGCATCTAGTAACTGCCTCTCACGATAAACCAGTCTAAGAATAATTTGCCAACCATCAGGAAGACTCTGCTACCTCCACAGCTGCCATAAACAGAGGCAATTCGCAACAGCTCTTGGACCTGAGTATTAGCACAGCAAGTCTGAAAGATAAAGCTCCCCACACGCCTTGTTGTTCCCGCAGCAAACGCTGCTGGTGCCCAAGTCTTTTGCCGGGGCAGCTCCCTTCCAGCAGGGAAGAGGCAGCACCTGGGCACAAGGCTGGCCCTGGGCACGGTGGTGTCAGTCGTAAATTCACACGAGGAAGTTTTAAAACTGCAGACTGAGGTGACAGACCCAGGTGAAAAGTGGGTCTTTGGCACACACAGCAGCTGTGTTATGCTCGTTGCGTTTACATACAAACCCCTACCCTACTGCTCCTCGTTGCAGGAACACCACAGAAGTGCGCAACAAAGCAAAAAGACCCAAGGGCGAAACAAGGTACAGGTGCCCCCACAGCAGGCAGTACCAACAGGGACAGAAGCCACAGGGATGGAGTCAAGAAACTGATTTGGGAATAGGAGGCATGAAACAGAGCAAACAGAGCTAAACAGTTCTCAAAGGCACCGACATAAATCCACGACCCGAAAAGCAGTGGCTGAAATTGTAGTGCCTCACACGGCAGAACAGGAGTTGCAAATCTGTTTTGAAAAGAGGGACAGAATTCGCCATTTGCCTAACCCAGGAAACGTTAACAGCTTTACTCTTGCTGCAGGTGGCTTTTCTGTTCTGGAACAGAATCCAGCCACCACTGGAAATCCATGGATTTACAAAAAGACTTTCAGTAATAGAAAGGTCCTCCCGTTTCTAGACTTGCAGGCCAGATCTTCATGTGAAACCCACAAGGGATTTCTTTTTACTCCAAAGTATCGATGAACTTGACGCCCTAGTCCTGCCTTAGTCAAGGGTCCTTACATTTCAGAGTTTTGCCCAGAAGATCACCAAAGAATGAGATACCAGACAAAAGCAAAGCAGTGCAATTGGATCATCAGTACAAGTCCTCAAAACTCTGTGAACTCTAAGAGCAAAGCCCTGTTCTCCCCAGCCTTCACTCTAATATTTAAGAGCAGCTGCAAGTGCTTCAATGATTGGAATCAGGGCAAGCCTGGGCAATGAACAGCAGCCTTGGACTGCACTTAGCAGGAGTTTTTATCCCCAGATACCACATACTGTTCCACTCATTCAACACAGATTAAGAGCATCAGGTAATGATGCAAATGAACCGCTTCTTCCAACATCAAGGAGAAATCAGGTGTAGCAGATCCTCAAAAGCAAAATCAGTACAAAGGGTACTGTGTGACAAAATCAGGGATTCACTTACGGCTTTGGCCATTCTCTGCTGTTGATGAATGTGGTTTTTTGAACTCTGTTACCAATCCTGAGGAGTAAAAGAGTGTCTGAAGCATTCAGGATGTTTTCTGGAAACGCGAAGCCACACTTTGAATGACAGAACTGCATGGCATTAATAGAGAAAGTACTTAACTGAAAATGCTCCCTTGAGGCAAGGAAGTCTTTTACCATAATAAACCAGCTTCTGCATACTCAGGGACCTGTGGAGAGACAAAAATTCTTGTGATGTGCCTCAACTCCAGCCGTACTCAGAAAAGGAAATGGAGAGACTGTGTTTTGGCATAAGCCTGTAATGTTAGTCTGCACTACTAATTAAACCTGCTGTGTTTCAGCCAAAGCCCTAACAACTCTGTTTAATCTAAAATGATGATATGTGAGATGA